GAACAAGAAGAGTCCCTTTATTTCCCTCTTCAAGAGAAGTGAGGCCCTCTAACTCTACTCGGGGCCTGGTACCTTGACCAATACAGGGGCATAGTCCACCTTCTTCCTTGGGAATGGTGCTCTCAGCACCTCCAGGGGAAAGCAAGGGCCCGTTATGTACTTGCCGGGCCCTCCAAACTCTGCAGAGCCAGCAATGGCTCCTGCTATGGCAATAGCAGGCCCCCGCCCCCGCTGTACTCTTCTTTGCCAGGGAGCACCACTCATAGTGGGAATGCATATAACCCTGGAGGGTGACTGTTCCCACTCAGAGCGTGCCTGTTGGAGAAAGAGGTTTTGCTTGGGTCTATGTTTTTTAAAACTGTTGACTTGCATAACTGGAAATCCCATAGTAAGGGCTTATGGGTGAGCCCACAAGAGTTCATAACTCACATATGGAGAATATTCTCCACACATAACCCTACCTGGCCAGGTGTGCAGACCTTAACAGCAACCCTGCTCACAGCAGAAGATAAATCTGCCACCATGGCCAAAACTGAGGAGGAGGCAGACAATATGTGTGCTGATAACCTGGTGACCTGTCCTGTTGAGGTGTTGGTCCCAATAGCTAACCCAAACTGGGACCCCAATGATGACAAGAATCAAGAGTGGCTTCATCATTATAGGAATATGCTTCTCAGAGGTATGAGGGAAGCAAGCCAGCCCCCGGTCAATTGGGGAAATCTCAGAGAAACAGAACAAGGCCCTAATGAAAATCCATCAGCATTCCTAAATTGATAATAAGAATGCCTCCAGAATTACACCCCTTGGGACCCAGATGACCCAAAAGCCGAGTAGTACTTTAATCCCACTTCATCTCTCAGCCCCAGATATTCAGAGAAAACTCTAAAAATTGGCAATAAGTCCACACACTCCCCCTTTCCAACTGGTAGACATCTCCTTTAAGGTCTACAGTAAAGAGATGTGGCATCTGATGAAAAAGAGGACAAGAAGATGCAGCAGCCCTACAGACTACTTCAGGAAAACCAGGAAGAAGATGGCATGAGTGAGTGACCAGGGCCCCCGCCATGGAAATCAGGGCCTGCCTACACTGAGGCCCAAACAATGTGCTTACTGGAAGCAGAAAGGATGCTGGGAAAGGGAATGTCCAAATCATCCCCAGAGAGGGAAGAAAGAGGACAAGCCTGAGGTACCAGTTCCCTGTAACTGGACAAGAAACTGATGGATGGGGCCATGGGGCTCCCTGCCTGGCTCCTCAAAGCAAGATCCACATCTCCCCTCCAGGTTACACAGAATAAGGGGGGCAGCCAGTTGGGTTTTTAAATTTTTTTTTATTTTTTTGAGAGAGAGTCTGTTACCCAGGCTGGAGTGCAGCACCGTGATCATGGCATACTGCAGCCTCCAACTAGGCTCAAGCAGTCCTCCTACCTTAGCCTCTCAAGTAGCTGGGACTAAGGCACACCTGGCTAATTCTTTTTGTCTGTTTGTAGAGACAAGGTCTCGTTATGCTGTCAGGGCTGGTCTTGAACTCCTGGGCTCAAATGATCCTCCAACCTTGGCCTCCTGAAGTGTTGGCATTACAGGCATGAGCCACTGTACCCGGCCACCAGCTAAGTTTTTGATCAACACTGTAGCCATGTTTTCTGTGTTGATCACTAAAAGTGGACCCTATCCAGGAGGGAACGTATATAAGGGATGTGTCTCATAAAGGAAATAAAAGATTCTTGGAGCCTCCGGTCCATGAAATGGTATCTAAAACTTTGACTCATTCTTTCTTCTGTTCCCCAAATGTCCCATTCTCCTTTTGGACTTCTAAGTTTGGAGCCACAATTTCTCTAAATCAGGACAGGATAGAGGTGTTCCGAGCCCATGGCACTGCCATGCTAGGCGTAGTTCCTGGGGAAGTTCCAAACTTGGGACCTCATAAGACTCCTTGACTAATGTGGTACTAGATAACTGTATAGCATTAGACTGCCTCTTAGCAGTAACAGGGAGGAGACTGTGCAGTTATTAATTCCTCTTGCTGTACCTGAATAAATACCTCAGGGGAAACAGGAAGTTAACATTAGGAAAGTCCATGCCCAAGCCTCTCGGCTCCACACTTTTAATCAATAGCCATATATATATATATATTTTTCTTTTTCCCAGAGTCTCACTCTGTTGTCCAGGTTGGAGTGCAGTGGTGCATAATCTGGGCTTACTGCAACCTCCACCTCCCGGGTTCAAGCAATTTTTCTGCCTCACCCTCCTGAGTAGCTGGGACTACAAGCGCCCACCACCACACCTGGCTAATTTTTGTATTTTTAGTAGAGATGGGGTTTCACCTTGTTGCCCAGGCTGATCTCGAATTCAGGGTGATCCACCTGCCTTGGCCTCCCAAAGTGCTGATAAGGGAGAAGACCACCCCTCATATCTTCTTATGCCCAATTTCTGCCTCCAAAGAAAGAAGCAGTAAAAACTAAAAGGCAGAAGTGAAATCCACAGGCAGACAGCCTGGCGCTGCACCCTGGGCCTGGTAGTTAAAGATTGACCTCTGACAATTGGTTATGTGATTATACATTACAGATATTGTATAGAAAAGCACTGTGAAAATCCCTATCCTGTTTTGTTCCGATCTTATTACCGGTGCATGCAGCCCTCAGTCATGTACCCACTGCTTGCTCAGTTGATCACGACCCTCTCACACGCACTCCCTTAGAATTGTGAGCCCTTAAAAGGGACAGAAATTGCTCACTCCAGGAGCTCGGCTCTTGAGATGGGAGTCTTGTCGACGCCCTCGGCCGAATAAACCCCTTCCTTCTTTAACTAGGTGTCTGAGGAGTTTTGTCTACAGCTCGGTCCTGCTACACTGGCATTACAGGGGTGAGCTACCACACCCGGCCTAATAGCCATGCTTCTAACTCTATTTGAGAAACTCTCAAATTAGCAATACCAAGTGTTACTTGGTTTCTTCCCCTAACGGGGCCACTAATTTTGTTGCTCTTACTACTGTTGTTTGGTCCCTGCATCTTTAACCTCTTCATAAAATTCATATCTTCTAGATTAGAAAAATTTTAACTGTAGGTGCCTTTGTGACCTATCCTGGGAGACCCTAAAACATATTTAGTTTTAGTGCCTAGAGATTTTCACTCCTCTAACATCTCTGGATACAGTGTCCCTGGATCAACATGAAGAAGTTACAAAAGAATGCCCTCTGACCCTGGCCCCTAAAGAATTTACTTGTGCTAAGTAATAAAATGGCTATTGATCAAAACCTGTGTTCTTGGGAAGAGTCATCTGTTACTATCCAGGTGAATGAACCCTGGATTTTCTGGTGGGTAACAGGGCCTGAGGGCTGCAGAGCCTGCCTGTGTAAAGGAGATAGCTACTACTCAGCCCCAGCCCATAGCTGGCATGTAAAAATTCAGGCTTGGTGTTGCCAGAGTATCTAAATGATCAAGAAGTCCAGATTTTTTATTTTCAAATATCCAAGTTTTCAGCTGTTGGCAACTGTGGTCTTATGATACATACTGTTTTTGTCTAAGGTTCCTGGCTTACAACTCCCATAGCCCTTGTTACAGTCTTTTGTTATAATGTTGGGTGTGTCAGGCCTTAGGAGCCAGCCTCTGGAAGCAGAATTGCTCTGACCTTCTCTAGTCCTCCTTTCACCTGCCCCAAGGCACCACTCTAATTGCCCACCTTTTTGACTGTGGGTCATAAGAGCCTCCCTAGAGAGGGTCCTGCCCTATACCCTGGGGAAAGGAACTGCTGACATCAAGAAGCTTCCATTAAAAACCCTAGAGGACTGGGTTGGGGTTGGGGTGGGTCGAGTCAGTTTCTGGATAGCTGAACATGTGGAAGTACCTGGAGGGTGGGACTCCAGGGAGGACACGGAAACTCCATGGCCTCTTCATCTGCATCCTTTGCAATGTCCTTTATAATAAACAAGTAAATGTAAGTATTTCCCTGAGTTCTGTGAGCTGCTCCAGCAAACTAATCAAACCCAAAGAAGAAGGCATGGGAACCCAACTTGAAGCCAGTCAGTCCTAAGTTTGGAGGCCCAGACTTGTGACTAGTGTCTGGGAAGGTAGGTGTCAGGGTGGTGGAGACTGAGCCCTCAACCTGTGGGGTCTGACACTATCTCCAGATAGATGGTGTTGGAATTGAATCAGAGGACACCCAGCTGGTGTCCACTGTAGAATTCATTGCTTGCCTGCTGATGGAGAGAAATCCTCACATATTTGGGGGTCACAAGTGTCTGCATTCATTGTTATATCAGTGTGAGAGCCAAGGAAAAACATGGTTGAAAGTTTCCCGAACCAACAATTAATTTTTAAAATGCACATTTTAAATTCTGCACAGGTCAAAAAAAAAAAAAACCAACTGCAAGCAAGATGCAGCCTGTAGGCTGTTAGTTTCCAAACAATGATTTCCAAAAAACGTGTTTTAATAATTTTTAACAATTTGGGGAGTAACCTTCAGTCACTCAAAGTATATTAAAGTTCTAAGGACTTTACCATTCCACTAATATTTATATATCTTGCCCAATATGAAATCATACAATAATGCTTTAAGGATTTTAAGTAAAAGGTAATTGTTATACTAATGCTTTGGAAGACTAAAAACAAGTTCTAATATAAGATTTTTTTTGGATCAGTTCTTAAAGAGCAGCTAAAATATTCCATCAATGTGGCATAAACTTACGTCACCAGTGACTAGTACCCTTCTCAAGCTAAAGAGAACATGACTTTCTGCCAAGGAATCTACGAGGAGTCCATTAAGCTTGTTAGTTCCAGTTACTTCTTAATGTGCAACCCCAGCATTTTTATTTTTTAGTCACACGGCTGGAACGATAAGACCATTAAGAGTAACAGCTGCCATAAAACCTCATAAGGCATTTTTAATAAGGTCATCAATTTCTGGCAAGACCTAAACAAAGTTAAATGTATAACCAAGACTGTTAGCTCTGCTATCAAAGGGAACCAAGACAAAAAAATCAGTTAACCATTTTGTAAATGACTTACTCTGTAGTGACAGCAGGAGCTAAGGGATCAAACTCCATTACCTCGTAGTAATTAGGTGGCTGGAGATCACTTTTTGTCATCGCTTTAGGCAAAAAAAGAGACCAGTAAACATACATTATGCTTTTCGAGGAATACATGTAATTGATATTCTTTTTATAATTTATACTTCAAATATTAGATCCTAATAAACACAACCAAAACAGATTGGTGTTTCAATGCTACTCCCAAGTTCAACAAATCTGTATATAACAGAAAGGTTTCCAAACCTCAACTACCTTAGCAGTCAAAACACAATAGTCAGTTTAACACAAGTTTAACACAAGCATTTTTACAGTCTCTTATAGTCAGTCATAATGCTATCTGCCCTGAATTTGTTTCATTAGCTTAAAAATACAAAGAAGTACCTCTAATTTCTCCTATTTTCAGTTACCAACGAATCTCTGGCAGACTTATATATTCTCGTAAGTTTCCTTATTTGATGCAAATAATAAGGTCCCATGTACCTGGATGATTGCTGGGCAAAGGTGGCAGACTCTGGTTTGATGGTGCTGCTGCAGTGGTTTGTGGACTAACCGGCTGTAGAAACACTGAATTTGAATGTTCCAGAAACTGAAGAAAGCATAACACATGTTCATATAAACATTCTACATTAAGCTTTTCTTTTATTAGTTAGACTTCTACACTTCCAAGTACATTATTCCAAGAACCATATACTTTGAACTGGACAAGAACAAGTTGTTTGTAATTATTACTTTAGTATTTTTAGGTAATCATCACTTAGGAGATTTACTTCATTTCTGCTGGGCATGGTGGCTTACATGCCCAGATTTCCACATTCTGAGTGAAAATAATCCTAACACTCAGAATGTGGAAATCTCTTGTCCTTTTTTTTTGTCTCTTGTCCTTTTTTTGTCTATCTCAGCAATTTGGGAGGATGAGGTGGGAGGATTACTTGAGCCCAGGAGTTCAAGATCAGCCTAGGCAACAGCAAGACCCCAGCTCTTAAAAAAAAAAAAAAAAAAAAAAAGCTGGGCATGGTGGCTCGCATTTGTTTTTTTTTTTTTTTTTGAGACCAAGGCAGGAGGATCGCTTGAGCTTAGGGGTTTGAAGTTTTTTTTTTTTTTTTTCATATGATCTTGCTATATATTCTAGCCTAGGTGACTGAGTGAGATTCTATCTCAAAGGCAAGAATTTACTATATGTTTGTCTGGATTTATGCCTAATGCACTTTTTTTTTTTTTTTTTCTGAAAAAAAAAAACCAAAAACATATATTGCTTTTAAAAATGTTTTTTTTTTTTTTTTTCAGGCCAGATTCTCTGTTATTTCACTCTGAATATAAAATCTCTTTTTTTTTTTTTTTTTAAAAAATCTTAAATCTACAGAGAGGCACTCAGTGACACAACAAAATCAGGACTGATAAAACATTAAAATCATAATTAGAAATTTCTCAGAATTTTCCTCATTTTTTTTTTTTTTTTTTCCTGGGTACCTATCAGCTGCCAGGCACTATTAATAAAGCAATAAAGCAGACCAAGTTCCTGCCCTGATGACACAGACAATCAACAAATGTAAACAGATATCTTTTTTTTTTTTTTTTTATATAAAAGCAGAGTAGTGGGTGGGAGAGAGACTGAAGTAGAATACTGCTCTAATAGGTCATGGTCAGGAAATGGCTCATCACTGGGGGCATTTAAGCAGATTTTTTTTTTTTTTTTTCTTGTGGTTACTGAAGAGGACACAAGTTCACAGTCTCTGAAGTTTTTTTTTTTTTTTTTGTTGGAACAGAGTGAGCCAAAGTAGAGAGGGGCAGGAGGTGAGGCTGGAGAGGTGACAGGTGTGGTCAGATCAGCATTTCAGGCATTTACTGAGTAAAATGTTTTTTTTTTTTTTTTTATAGGTGGGTTTTGAGCAAATGAGTGACATAATATGACTTTATTTTTTTTTTTTTTTTTCCCCAGTTTTTGTTTTGAGAATAGATTATGAGGTGGGCAGGAGGGATGCGAAGGGAGGCAAAGGTTGAAACAGGGCTTCCCTTAGAGGCCACTGCAGTGTCCACCTGATGGTGGCTTGGACTAAGATGCAGAAGTGGAGGTGGTAAGAAGTGGCTGGATATTTTTTTTTTTTTTTTTGTAAAAGGCAAAAGTAAAAGTAAAAAGGTAGATGTCAAACACTTTTTTTTTTTTTTTTTGACCTATGCAGCAAAGAGTAGAGTGGCCATTGACTGAAGTGGGAAGCCTGCAGGAAGGGCAGGTTGAGAGTGGAGACTGGGAAGAAATCAAGAGAAGACATTTTTTTTTTTTTTTTTTTATGAGTTCTGAGTTTAGAGAAGGGGTCTGAGCTACAAGAGATACAAACTTGTAGGCTGTCAGAAATTGAATGGTTATTTCAAGGTATGAGACCAAAAGACTTTTTTTTTTTTTTTTTAGATAGAGAAGTCTGAAGCCTGATCCCTGGGGTCTCCAGCAATGAAAGGTCAGTAGAGGAGGAAGAGCCAGCAAAAGAGATGGAGAAGAAATGAAAGGGAGTTTTTTTTTTTTTTTTTGTGACTGATATCTGAAAGCCATGTGTGCAAGAAGGAGGAAGTTTTTTTTTTTTTTTTTTGTTGCTGATAAATTAGATAAAATGAGGGACTATGGAACTGCATTTTTTTTTTTTTTTTTACAGAAGTCACCAGTGATCTTGACAAGAGTTATGTCCACAGAGTGGTAGAAGAGCGTGTCTGAAGTCTGTCAAAGAGAATACAAGCAAAGGAAGTGGAGACAGCAATTACACACTCCAAAAAAATTTTGATCCTTAACCATCTTGCCAACAGGAGCTGCGTTTTTTTTTTTTTTTTTGCAGAACATGGGAATTAATGACCGTGAGTTATTTTCTGGCCATTTTTTTTTTTTTTTTTGGCGCACTACTAGAAAAGAGTCTTGTTACTTACGTTATCATATGCGTGGCTTGAGGTGAGGTTTTGGCTGATCCTTTGGGAAAACCTAGGATAGTGTGATATTTTTTTTTTTTTTTTTTACAGTGAGAACACAAATGCAAAAAGTAAGATCATTTTCCTATTTTTTTTTTTTTTTTTAAAATGTACCTTCAGACCGCATAAAGTGTCATTTTGTAATAATTTTTTTTTTTTTTTTTGGTTTTTCAGTGCACATCGGGTTTTGATGCCATGGGCAGTGGTTTTTTTTTTTTTTTTTAGTATGCACACAACACTAAGAACAGAGCCTTTAGTCTTTCCATTTTTTTTTTTTTTTTTCCATCGTTTCCTAAAGGATGAGTAGTAGTATAGAACACAGGTTTTTTTTTTTTTTTTTTGGGTTCCAGTCCAGGATAAAGCGGAGCAAACGTACTGCACCCTTTTTTTTTTTTTTTTTTCACTTAAAAGTGGACAGAATGCATAGAGCAACTCTTTGAGGTTTTTTTTTTTTTTTTTCAGCCTCATTGGGAAAGAAGACCAGAGTTCAAGTATCACTGATTTTTTTTTTTTTTTTTTGTTTTCTGTCCCTTTGTATTTCCTGACCAAATGCAATGCAGCCTGAACCCTAGGCATCAATGAGAAAGACAGAGCTCTAGGAGAAGCCTTCTCATTCTCATTTTTTTTTTTTTTTTTAATAATCCTAACACTCAGAATGTGGAAATCTCTTGTCCCTTTTTTTGTCCTCTTCTCTCTGTTCTCTCACACCCCAAACCACAGGCAACCCCAAAGTGGCTTTTTTTTTTTTTTTTTTAATGGGACCTGTAGGAAATTGAAACAGTGAGAAGAATCTTCTTTTTTTTTTTTTTTTTTACCCACAGCTTTTTTCCGTTCTCTCCTGCCGTTCAGTCACAGTTTTTTTTTTTTTTTTTGAAATGTGTGGTATCATAGGGTAACTAAAGCTCCAGCTTTATGACTGGAGAAACAAAAACGGGAGTCCCAGGAAACTAGAAAGTACCAGATAAATCACGATGATGGAGGACTCAGGAAAACAACCCCATGAAGTTGTTTATGAAATACTGAGCTCACCCCCCGGATCCCACCGCAGTCACGATGCCAAAAATGGTGAGAAGTGAAAAAACAACCTGCCATTTTTTTTTTTTTTTTTCCACAGGATGGAACATACATGAGACATATTTGAATGGCACTGCAAAGGCTTTGAAAATGTAGCTGACATTGGAGCCACCCCCCATAGAAGAAGGGTAAAATTTTTTTTTTTTTTTTTTCAGGTTGTTTACATACTAAAATCAAAATATCAATATTCTTGATTTTTTTTTTTTTTTTTCCAAGAGTCTCCTAATAAGACATTAAAAATGCCCAAGATAGAATCCAAAATTATGAGGCATATGAAGAACCATGAAAATTTCAGCTTGCACGAGAAGACAATTTTTTTTTTTTTTTTTAAGAGGACACAGATGTTGAAATTATCTCAGAGATATTTAAGGTTTTTTTTTTTTTTTTTCTCCAAAGAACTGCAAACAATCTTTAAAAAAAAAAAAAAACATTTTTTTTTTTTTTTTTCACAGCAAAAACACAAGATATAAAGAACCAAAATGAAATTTCTTTTTTTTTTTTTTTTTTAACTGAATTAAAAAAAAAAAAACTTACAGAATGAGCTCAATTTTTTTTTTTTTTTTTTAGAGGAAACAGTCGGTGAACTTGAACATAAATCACAAAGTATCCAATCTAAACAGAGAGAAGCAAAGAGTAAAACAGACAAACAGGACCCCAAACACCTATGAGACAATGGCACAGGTCTAAAATTTGTGTCATCAGGGTTCCAGCAGAAGAGCAGAAAGATTGTAGTTCTGAAAAAAAGACTAAAAACATCACAAGTTTGGTGAAAGACATAAAGCCATTTTTTTTTTTTTTTTTGTTCCATTAGTGGGTTAAATGGTGGCCCCCCAAAAGCTATGTTTTTTTTTTTTTTTTTTAATCAGAGTTTCTGGGGACCAGCAACTTTTTGACAGTCACCCAAGGGATTTTTATGCACACTGAATTATTAGATCCAGTAGGCTACAGATTAAAACAGGCATTTTTTTTTTTTTTTTTGACTCTTAATGAATTTTATAGATACTTGTTGTTACTGGGCTTTTTTTTTTTTTTTTTTTTCTCACATTACCCAACAAGATTAGCAAGACAACTCAAACAGATTTTTTTTTTTTTTTTTACATTATTTACCAAGCAACTTCAATGTGCCTACATGTCAGCATTTTTTTTTTTTTTTTTTAGCCAAGACAAGAGGTAGCCAACCAAAGAAACTGACCTAACTTTTTTTTTTTTTTTTTGAGCCATTGACACTTTATCATTTCCCAATACATGAATCCTTTTTTTTTTTTTTTTTTTTTATTTTGCTCTTTTTTCTTCCCAGTTTGATTCTTCTTTTTCATTTTTTTTTTTTTTTTTCTCCCCCTTTTAAATATAGAAAAGTAATTCAGTGATTGGGTATTTTTTTTTTTTTTTTTAACACTAGGCAACTTTTTAAAAAATCTAAATCCACTGATATATTTTTTTTTTTTTTTTTTGTTAAGTGAAAAACAAAAGAAAAGTTCAGAACAGAGTGATATTTTTTTTTTTTTTTTTGAGTAATGGAGAAATTCATATTCATATTTGCCTACAGACACTTTTTTTTTTTTTTTTTTAACCTAACAAAGTAATTATCTGGGTGGGAGTAGAGCGTGACACTAAGGAAAGGGAAAGAGGGAGGATGAAGAGGGAATGAGAACAAGAATTGTCTTATACAACTTTTTATATTGTTTTGATATCTTAATAATGAAAATGTATTGCCTATTATCTAAAATATTTTTTTTTTTTTTTTTAAAAGCTATTGACATTGGCATAAGGCAAATTCAACTGCTATTTATTCTATCCTGCCTCTTCTGGAACTTACATAACCACTCTTTCACTCTTTTTCATTATTTTTTTTTTTTTTTTTTTCTTGTTTCTTTATGTGAATAGAGGCAAATATTAATATATATTTTTTTTTTTTTTTTTTTTACACAAATGCAATATATTACACACACACTACTTAGCACCTTTTTTTTTTTTTTTTTTTATAAATATATTGGTGATTATTTTATCCCCCAGCTATATAGTATTTTTTTTTTTTTTTTTTTAACAGTCCCCAACTGATGGATACTTGAGTTGTTTCCAATTACTTGCTATTGCCCAAAACATTGTAAAGAATAATCTTGTAAACACCTAACTCTGTATAAGTGTGGTAAAACTTTATACACATAAGATTACAGATTGAAAGAAATAAATGCATTTATAATTTTTTTTTTTTTTTTTACTTGCCCCTAGAAGAGTTACATAAATTTTGTCATAGTAACTGTCTTTCCATAGCCAACAAAGTATGTTATGAAATATTGGTACTTTTGCCACCCTGAGAATTTTTTTTTTTTTTTTTATTAGACTTTAATTTACATTTCTCTATAAGTAAAGTTGAACATCATTGCCTATGTTTATAGGTCATTAATATTTCTTTTTAATACTGTACTATCAGAAAACCTGATGGCTGGACGCAGTGGCTCACATCTTGTAATCCTAGCACTGTGGGAGGCCGAGGCACCTGGATCGCTTGAGCCCAGGTGTTTGAGAATAGCCTGGGCAACATGATGAAACCTCATTTTTTTTTTTTTTTTTCAAAAATTAGTAGGGCATTGTGGCATACGCCTCTAATTCCAGTTTTTTTTTTTTTTTTTGCTACTCTATCAGGTTTTATTAGTCCAAGTTTAATACTGAACTTTTTTTTTTTTTTTTTTGCTACTTACTGGCCATACAAACTTGGGCAAGTTCTAGTGCCTTTTTTTTTTTTTTTTTCAAGAAGTCGCAGTCTCTTTTCGTGTATGATGGGAATAATGATAACAGGCCGGTGCAGTGGCTCACTTTAGGCGGGAGGATCACCTGAGGCCTAAAGTTCAAGACCAGCTTGGGCAACAAAGCGAGACCACATCTCTACAAAAAAAATTAAAAATGAGCCTAGCCCAGTATGGTGGTGCACACCTGTAGTCCCAGCTATTAAGAGGCTAAGGTGGGAGTATCCCGTGGGCCCAGGAGTTTGAGGCTGCAGTGAGTTATAATGGCACCACTGTACTCCAGCCTGAGTGACAGAGCAAGACCCTAACCTAACATCACTGACCTAAATACTTTAGTGAAGTTTTTTTTTTTTTTTTTAAACTAGCTTAACTGAGTGCCTGCCACACAGCAAGTGCCCTGTAACTGATAGGGCCATTACTTCTAATTTTGAACCTCATTGCTTTTCTGCCTCCTTTATCATTGTATTTCCCCTGTTCTTCCCCATCTCCTGTTACCACTAAAAATAACAGAAAGGGACAATTTATTGAAGGCTTACTATGTACCAAGTGCTATATTAGGAGTTTTGCATATAGCATCTTTTTTTTTTTTTTTTTGAATCCTAGAAAATATTCTTAGAAGAAAAATGAACATTTACATTTTTTTTTTTTTTTTTCTAAGTTATATGGCTAGCAGGAAGTAGTGCTGAGATTCTAATTCAGGACTGTCTGATTCTTAAGTCTCTATTTTTTGCTATTTTATCATGTTTTCTTTTTTTTTTTTTTTTTTTTTTTGGTCTTGCTCTGTCACTCAGGCTGGAGTGCAATGGTGCAACCTGCACTGCACTGCAACCTCTACCACCTAGATTCAAGTGATTCTCATGCATCAGCCTCCCTTTTTTTTTTTTTTTTTGGCATATGCCACCATGCCCAACTAATTTTTATATTTTTACTAGAGATGAGGTTTTACCGTGTTGCCCAGGCTGGTCTCAAAATCCTGGGCTCAAGTGATCCTTTTTTTTTTTTTTTTTAAAGTGCTAGGATTACAGATGTAAGTCACTGCGCCCAGCCATTTTTTTTTTTTTTTTTTAAGGAATCCAAATGTCATATTAGTTCTGCAGTGTTACTGACATTTTTTTTTTTTTTTTTCTGTATTCTCCAAGGCTAGCAAGTCCATCTGTGGATGAAGACTGGGTTTTAAGTTGTTTGTTACATCAGAACTTGGAGAGCTGAAATCTAAAACACAAAATTTTTTTTTTTTTTTTTTAAACATTTTGTCAGTCAGTTATTACACTGGATTTTCTACAGTTTTTTTTTTTTTTTTTTAGAAAAAAGAAAAAAGAAAAAAAAAAGAAAAACCCACCAAATTTTTTTTTTTTTTTTTTTTCTGTCACCATAAAATCATGAGATTTCCTAGCTCTAAGAGATTTTTTTTTTTTTTTTTTATGATAGGTAGAGAGAGAAAGAATTTCCCTGCCACGAGAAGAAGTTGTTGTAAGGGTAAGAAATATTATTGTATTGGATTTTCTAAAATCCTAAGCTGATCCAGAATGGAAAGGATTTTATATCTTGTTCTGCCCAGCACAAAAGTAAAAAGCTATAGTACATACTGAGCTCTACCTTCACCTCAAGCTCCAGTCCATAATCTTTTTTTTTTTTTTTGTTTTTTTTTTTTTTTTTGTCCCCCAGACTGGAGTTCAGTGGCATAATCTCGGCTCACCATTTTTTTTTTTTTTTTTGTTCAAGTGATTCTTCTGCCTCAGCCTCCTGAGTAGCTGGAATTTTTTTTTTTTTTTTTCACTCCCGGCTAATTTTTATATTTTTAGTAAAGAGGGGGTTTTTTTTTTTTTTTTTTTTTGGTCTCGAACTCCTGACCTCAGGTGATCCATCTGACTCGGCTTTTTTTTTTTTTTTTTTTACAGGTGTGAACCACCGTGCCTGGCCTCCAGGCCATAATCTTAAGTGAGATACCCCAAAGGGAATAATTACTTTCCCCTCTGAAAATTCTCTATTAAAATTTTTTTTTTTTTTTTTAATGTAACTGACTCTACACATCCCACTAGCCTACATAAATAATTTTTTTTTTTTTTTTTACTGGGTAGAGATCTAAGAAAACCACAAATTCAGTGATACTGTTTTTTTTTTTTTTTTTAACAGCAGATGACATAGGAGAAAAACAAACTGCTTTTAGTTTTTTTTTTTTTTTTTTTTGCATTTTTCATCATCCTTATTTTGTAATTTACCAAACCCTTGTTTTTTTTTTTTTTTTTAGAAGATAACAAGTTAGGTAAGATAGGTAATCTTTTATAAATTTTTTTTTTTTTTTTTTTAGCAAAGCTTACATCACAACTTGGAGAGCTGTAACAAAGCTTTTTTTTTTTTTTTTTTACATTAGTTTGTTAATCTTGACAACCACCCTTTAAGGCAATCTTTTTTTTTTTTTTTTTAAGTGAGAGTCTTAAAGGTTAGGTGGCTGAGAGGTGGCAGAACTGGCATTTCAACTTGGACTTTTCTGACTTTAAAGCCTGTGTTTTTCCTTCTTCATTTCTTTTTTTTTTTTTTTTTACCTTGTAATTTCTAAATTTCTCTGCTTGCATCAGAGATACTTTTTTTTTTTTTTTTTTGGTGTAGCAGAAGAGCCCAATGATAATAGTGTGTAGGTTCAGTTTTTTTTTTTTTTTTTGGCCATTGGGCTGAAAAGCCTCTACAAAGCAGGCCAGGTGAATTTTTTTTTTTTTTTTTTGAGTAGGATGAGTTTCAAGGACCTCCTCCCCCAGACACATCTTTTTTTTTTTTTTTTTTTGACTCAACCATTTGTCAGGAAGTAATCACATATCCTAACATAGTGCTCTGACATTCAAACTGTCTTCAGTCCTTCTTAGGTGGTATTTAATCATGTAATTAAGGAGAACTGTTTCACATCAAGCTCTTCTGCTGGTCTGAAAAGACCTGAGTGTTTATTTACTTAAGTCTGAAAGTTGATTATTCATGGTGTTGAGTTCTCCCAGAGTGTCCCTAGGTTTTTTTTTTTTTTTTTTTAGGTCGAGGAGATCTTGAGATGGGGCAGAAGGCTCACTGGTTTTTTTTTTTTTTTTTAAAAAAAAACAAAAAAAAAAAGTGTCATGTAGTTTATCATAGTTTTTTTTTTTTTTTTTCTCCTTTGTTGAGGGGAGGATCCTATTTGAATGCATTTTAAGTTTTTTTTTTTTTTTTTACCAATGGGCAACATTAGTATGAATCCCATCTTAACCACCTATTTTTTTTTTTTTTTTTTATTAATAACTTAGTAACATTAACTTTACATTACATGACATTTTTTTTTTTTTTTTTTTATTAACTTAATAACATTAAGTTATTAAGGCAAGTAATCTATATTTTTTTTTTTTTTTTTAATTATCAATGCATATCTCCCTCTTTTTAAGACTTGTTTTAGGTAAACCTTGCTTCTTACTGTAATTGGCAAAATGTTCAATTGTTTATTTTATAACGTTTTTTTTTTTTTTTTTTTTTGGCTTCCTTCTGGTTATTTTGCTCCAAAATCCTTTGTTGGTTTTTTTTTTTTTTTTTTAAATGATCAAAATGCATGTGTTTTAAAAATATATACGAAAATGCTATAAAAATCTAACAATTATTAATACACAAATATTTAGGAATAAAGACAATCAGCCTCATCCTCACACAATTATCAGTAAAAAACTTTTAATAACTTTTTTCCAGCTTACAGAGTATTCATACCCTCAGAGAAAACTGTGAGAAAATAGAAAAGTATTAAAAAAATCTCATCACCTTTTTTTTTTTTTTTTTATTAACATTATTCCAGTATTTCATCTATAAGTGCATCTATTTTTTTTTTTTTTTTTTTTTATACTTTACATAATTCTGTATCCTAATTTGATCACGCTGTGTTTTTTTTTTTTTTTTTAATACAATTTTTAATGGCTATATTTTACCTTATGAATCTATCTTTTTTTTTTTTTTTTTTACTATTAGCAATTATTTGTTTTCTATTTTGCCATTATAAGTTTTTTTTTTTTTTTTTTAAATATATTTAAAGTATTTTCACTATTTCACTGTGTATTTTTTTTTTTTTTTTTTTTTTTACCAAAAAATTGACCTTCTACAACTCTGATTTAATTTTACATTTTTTTTTTTTTTTTTGTAAAGAAGTATAAACGTAAAAGACTAGAGAAGTTGAAGGCATTTTTTTTTTTTTTTTTTGTCAGTGTTAGTACCTTGTAGCTACATGACTAAGGAGATGATTTTTTTTTTTTTTTTTCCCCAGCTGCTAAGAGGGAATAACATTTGAACTATTTCCTCAGAAAGTTATTTTCAGGGGCAAAACTAGATAGTACAGGTGGATGAATGTGGAAATGCTTTTTTTTTTTTTTTTTTTTTTAGAAACATACAGTATCACTGTTAAGACAATTTGACTTCATTTTTTTTTTTTTTTTTTAGTATAAGTTTATACTCAATTGGGCCTCCGAGTCCAAGCCTACAGGTATACATCCAGATGGCCTGAAGCAACTGAAGAATCACAAAAGAAGTGAAAATGGTTTTTTTTTTTTTTTTTTGATGACATTCCCTTGTGAGCTTCCTTCTCCTGGCTCAGAAGCTTTTTTTTTTTTTTTTTTGTGACCCCTGCCCCTGCCCTCCAGAGAACAACCCCCTTTGTTTTTTTTTTTTTTTTTTCAAATCCTATAAAACTGGCCCACCCCTAACTCCCTTTGCTGATTTTTTTTTTTTTTTTTGCCTGCCTGCACCCAGGTGAAATAAACAGCTCTATTGCGCACACAAAGCCTGTTTGGTGGTCTCTTCACAAGGATGCGCGTGACAGAATCTGTGCACGCAGTTTTTTTTTTTTTTTTTAACATGTGCTTTTAAATTCCACCTAGTTAAGCCGGGAACTGTGGCTCATGCCTGTAATCCCAGCACTTTGGGAGGCCGAGACAGGTGGATCACTTGAGGTCTTTTTTTTTTTTTTTTTCTGGGCAACATGGTGAAACCCCATCTTGACTAAAAATACAAATTTTTTTTTTTTTTTTTGGTCTGTAATTCCAGCTACCAGGGAGGCTGAGACAGAAGAATCGCTTGAACCTGGGAAGCGGAGGTTGCAGTGAGCCGAGATCATGCCACTGCTCTCCAGCTTTTTTTTTTTTTTTTTAGTCCATCTAAAAAAAAAAAAATCCATCTAGTTATAACATTAGCTTCTTGTGTTCTAGTCAGTTATGTGCTGGGTATGAACAACTTTCCTAGATCAAGCCCTTTTTTTTTTTTTTTTTTTTCTTTATTTGCACAACTATTCCCTGGATGTAATGAGCAGATACTTTGGGAGATGTTGGAATAGGGTGAATGTATTTTGCAAGTGGATGAATATGAATCTTTTTTTTTTTTTTTTTTGGCTGTGATAGGTAGAGTAACGCCCACCCTCACAAAGGTACCTTTTTTTTTTTTTTTTTAACCAGTGAATATGTTAGGTTACATGGCAAGGGGAAATTAAATTTTTTTTTTTTTTTTTAGTTTGCTACTGTTAAAGGAAAAGAAATCTCAGGACCCCAAATTTTTTTTTTTTTTTTTAAAAGTCAAGCTGGGAACTGCCTCACGCAAATTTTATTCCTATTTTTTTTTTTTTTTTTGATAAAAAGCTACCTACCTCTCTCACAATTTGCCCAAGAGAAAACTCCTTGTGGGCCTCAAGATCTTTACCCTAAAACAGTTCTGTTGAATCTCACCTTGGCAATATAAACTGATAGCTTATCTTCACAAGTACAGGACAAAGGACAGAACTCGACTGAGTCCTCTGCCCTACTGCTTATGTAGAAATGCAGATTCACTGAGCCAGACTAAGGTATGAGTGACTATTCCTCTAGCCCCTTCTCACATGTAAATTGTGTATTCTGTGAAAGGTTTATCATTTTTTTTTTTTTTTTTAACCATTTGTCGCTTATCTACTTATAACCTGGAAGCCCCCTTTTTTTTTTTTTTTTTTTCCACCTTTCTAGATGGAACCAATGGACATCTTACACATACTGTTTTTTTTTTTTTTTTTCCCGAAAATGTATAAAACCAAGTTGTGGATGGCCGGGTGCGGTTTTTTTTTTTTTTTTTCCCAGCACTTTGGGAGGCCAAGGTGGGTGGATCATGAGGTCAAGAGATCGAGACCATCCTGGCCAACACAGTGAAACCCTGTATCTACTAAAAATACAAAATTTTTTTTTTTTTTTTTGCACATGCCTGTAGCCCCAGCTACTCAGGAGGCTGAGGCAGGTTTTTTTTTTTTTTTTTGGAGGCAGAGGTTGCAGTGAGCCGAGATTGTGCCACTGCACTTTTTTTTTTTTTTTTTTCATGACTCTGTTTCAAAAGACAAACAAAACAAAACAAAAAACCAAGCTGTGCCCCCATCACCTTGGGTGCATATTGTCAGGACCTCCTGTGGCTATGCCACTTTTTTTTTTTTTTTTTTGGCAAAATAAACTTTCTAAATTAATTGAGACCTGTCTCAGATTTTTTTTTTTTTTTTTAGTAAGCTGCCCTTAATTGGGAGATTATCCGGGAATGTACAGTTTTTTTTTTTTTTTTTATAAAGGTCCTTAAAGGTGGAAGAGAGAGGCAGAAGTGGAATTTTTTTTTTTTTTTTTTAATCAGGCCTGAACTAGACACTGTTGGCTTTGAAGATGGAGATTTTTTTTTTTTTTTTTAGGAAAGTGAACAGCCTCTAGCTGCTGCAAAAGGTAGGAAGATGGATTCTCCTCTGGAGCATCCAAAAGTAGATAAAACAGAGGATAAGCCACTAAGTTTGTTTTTTTTTTTTTTTTTAGCCAGAGAAAACTAGGAGACTAGTATCTTTTCTAGAGGCAAGAGTTTCTCTCTGAATCTTAGGACATAAGTGTTTCACAGTTGTTCTGGTACACGCGGTTTTTTTTTTTTTTTTTTTAAGCTGTTCATAGAAGTAATCCAATCTCCTGAGAGCTAGACATTTTTTTTTTTTTTTTTCCTCGGAGGAAGCCTTTAGGCAGTGGTCTTATGGTTTGCAATTTTTTTTTTTTTTTTTTAAGCCAGAAGGCAGCACTCTACTGAAAACGATGTGGTTTTCCTTTTTTTTTTTTTTTTTTATAAAAATTTGTTCCACAGAAAACAAGAGTAACAATTGTGATTTTTTTTTTTTTTTTTAAAGCAAGCATGGTGGCCAGGCAAGGTGGCTCACACCTGTAATTTTTTTTTTTTTTTTTGCCGAGGAGGGTGGATCACCTGAGGTCAAGAGTTCAAGACCAGCCTGGGCAACATGGTGAAACCCTGTTTCTACTACAAATACAAAAACTACACGGGCATGATGGTGTGTGCCTGTAATCCCGCTACTTGGGAGGCTGAGGCAGGAGAATTGCCTGAACCCAGAAGGTGGAGGTTGCAGTGAGCCAAGATCGTGCCACTGTACTCCAGCCTGGGCACTCCATCTCAGAAAAAAAGAGAAAAAGAAAGAAAGGAAGCATGGTTCCTAGGCTTACATCTTTTTTTTTTTTTTTTTTTTGAATACACAGTAAATATGAGACAGTAAAGGAAAGACACTACTTTTTTTTTTTTTTTTTTTTTTATGTTTCTCTTTTTTGAGACAGGGTCTCACTCTGTTATTTTTTTTTTTTTTTTTTGACACGATCTTAGATCACTGCAACCTCTGCCTCCTGGGCTCTTTTTTTTTTTTTTTTTCAGCCTCCTAAGTAGCTGGGACTAAAGGCGTGCATCACCATGCCTAGCTAATTTTTGTAATTTTTTGGTAGAGATGGGGTTTCGCCATGTTGCCCAGGTTGGTCTCAAACTTCCTGAGCTCAAGCAATCTGCCCACCTCAGCCTCCCAGGGTGCTGGGATTTTTTTTTTTTTTTTTTATTCTTGGTCCATAGCTACTGGCTTTATTTTATAGATTCTCTTTTTTTTTTTTTTTTTTGTGGGAAGAAAAACTTAGTCAATAAATTTAAAGGTTAAATGGTTTTTTTTTTTTTTTTTAGAGAAGAAATTACTATTGAATGGACGTCAATGTGCTAGCACTTTTTTTTTTTTTTTTTTATATATTATCTCATTTAATCCTCAAAAAAGCCCAACCCTCTTTTTTTTTTTTTTTTTTTTTAATACATCAAAAAAAAAAAATAAGAAAAAAAAAACTTAATTTTTTTTTTTTTTTTTCAACTTATCCAAAATCATCAGCTAGATTTGAATCCAGGCCTGTTTTTTTTTTTTTTTTTTGTCAGACTGGTCTCATTCTTTATCAGCTGATTAGAAATACATTTTTTTTTTTTTTTTTGATTCCCAGTAATTCTCAACAGAAACAGTGCCCCTAAGGGTGTCTTAACATGCCCTTTTTTTATTATTTCTCTTAGAGGTGGGATTTCACTCCATCACACATTTTTTTTTTTTTTTTTGCGATCATAGCTCACCACAACCTCAAATTCCTGGTCTCAAGCTATCCTCCCACCTCAGCCTCTCCGGTAGCTCGGCTATAAGCACCTACTAGAACCACCACACCCAGCTAATTTATTTATTTTTTATTTATTTATTTGAGGCAGAGTCTCACTCTGTTGCTTTTTTTTTTTTTTTTTGGTGTGATCTTGGCTCACCGCAACCTCCACCTCCCCTTCAAGTTTTTTTTTTTTTTTTTCCTCCTAAGTAGCTGGGATTACAGGCATGCACCACCATGCCCTTTTTTTTTTTTTTTTTTTTTAGTAGAGATGGGGTTTCACTATGTTGGTTAGGCTGGTTTTTTTTTTTTTTTTTTTAATGATTTGCCCGCCTTGGTCTCCCAAAGGGCTGGGATTACATTTTTTTTTTTTTTTTTCTGGCTTTATTTTTCATTTTTTGTAGAGACAGGGTCTTACTATTTTTTTTTTTTTTTTTTGGAATTCCTGGGCTCAAGTGATCCTCCTGCCTCGGCCTCCATTTTTTTTTTTTTTTTTGGTGGGAGCCACCATGCTGGGCTGAAATGTCACTTTAACTAGTTTTTTTTTTTTTTTTTTTTACTGAGTAGGAGCCTCACGAGGGAAAACTGTTCCACCCCTTTTTTTTTTTTTTTTTCTATTCCTATACCTTTCTAGAATGGAGGATCTAGAAAGAGGGTTTTTTTTTTTTTTTTTTGATAAGGATGCTGAGTAATTGGTGGTGAAAGTAGAAATGGATTTTTTTTTTTTTTTTTACATGATTTGCTCACCTCTCATATCCAAGGATGGCATTATTCTTTTTTTTTTTTTTTTTAATTAGCTCAACAGTTACATCTTCATTCTCCACCACCACAAGTTTTTTTTTTTTTTTTTCCTGCATCTCCCGACCTGTTTTATAGAGTTTCTGTCAAAGAATTTTTTTTTTTTTTTTTTTCCACACCTGAAACATTCTATAAAGACATATGACTCACCAATCTGTGCATACCTACAGTCACCTCCACCCTTAAGTCGCCTGTGGGGCACTACCTAAGTATTTTTTTTTTTTTTTTTTATCCTTCCTATTGGAAGGCAGTAAGTCATAAACTGATTATATTTTTTTTTTTTTTTTTAAATAAGTGTCATAAGAATAATATGGTGCATTGAAAATAATGCTGGACTAAAATCCAGAAGTGCTGTATGGGAATTCTAAATGTAGTGCTTATTAGCTGTGCCATGTTGGGGAAGAAAAAAATAAATTAAATAAACACGTTTTTAAAATCTCAGTTTTCTTTTTTCTTTTCTTTTTTTTTTTTTTTGTTTTTAAAATCTCAGTTTTCTTTTTTTTTTTTTTTTTTTATACCCCTTGCCACATCTACCTCAAGGGTTGACATAAAAATTTTTTTTTTTTTTTTTTATGAGGAACTCTATAACTATAAAGCATAAACATAAAACGTTATTGCATTATTAGTGGTAGTAGAAGTAGTGAAAATACATTTACAGTGGCATTATTTTATTTTTTTTTTTTTTTTTTTTAAACATTTAAAGTTTATAGTTATATCGCATTTTGAGGCAAATTTTTTTTTTTTTTTTTAACAAATCATGAATACCCTTATTTGAACTACCTAGAAATACTTTTTTTTTTTTTTTTTTCACCTCCCAAACCCATTTTTTTTTTTTCCCTCATAAGCATCATTTTTTTTTTTTTTTTTCTTACTTATCCAGAATCTCCAGGCTGGGGGTCTGAAAATCTATTTTTTTTTTTTTTTTTAGCACTCCAAAGTGTTTCTTATGTACACTGATATTTAAGAACTTTTTTTTTTTTTTTTTCTTTTTTTCCAGGCACACCTTCGATTAACCCGAGGTGCATAATTTTTTTTTTTTTTTTTCCTCAATCCCACCTTGGTTAGAGTTTGTCTGTGTAATAGTACTTTTTTTTTTTTTTTTTACACAGGGATGCTGCTTCTCTCAAAATGAAAGCAATAGAACTTTTTTTTTTTTTTTTTTATCACTTCGGCTGACTTTTCCCCTCAAGAAAGAAAGATCTGCTTTTTTTTTTTTTTTTTCTTCTTGAAACCATTCAGAATCTCAAACACTCTATTACAAGATTTTTTTTTTTTTTTTTCTAAACAAATAAATCAAACTATTACTAACTGGCGTTTAGACTCAGAGGTAAAAGCCACTACCCTCTACAAAATCATAACAACAAATATTTAAAAGACAACATTTTTTTTTTTTTTTTTAAAAGGTGAGTTAGACAGATGATAGACTTTCCGATTTTAGACTTTTTTTTTTTTTTTTTAAAAACCATCCCATTTGCCAACAACAGGGCCATCTTCAGGAATTTTTTTTTTTTTTTTTCAACAGTGTTGTTCTTAAAGCTCCAGACAGTAAACATTTTCTGCTTTGTAGGCCATCTAGTCTTTGCTGCAACTACTCAACTCTGCCACTATAGTGTAAAAGCAACCCTGGAAAATATATCAATAACTGGGTGTGGCCATCTTCTAATAAAACAGATATATTTTTTTTTTTTTTTTTGGCTCCTTTATATACCCCTAGTATAATGCGAAGAGAAAACTTTTTTTTTTTTTTTTTTTCACATCTCCCATATATATGCCTGCTATGGAATTTGGGGAAATTTTTTTTTTTTTTTTTTTTAGGTTTTGTTGTTGCTGTTTCGTTTTGTTTTTTGTTTTTTTTTTTTTTTTTTTTTTTAGAACAGCTATCTTGTAAGTTTGTTGTAAGAATTGGCAGTGGTGTCATTGAAACCCCAGTGTCTGGCATACAGAGGTAGTCGGTAGTAAATAAATGTATTATGGGTGCTTGACAAGGTGTCACTAGAAGCTTAACTAGATACCGAATACAATCCTGTAATACGCTATTATCCAGGATCCGATCTTCTACAAAGGAAATAATTAAGAATGGCATTTAATATTTTTTTTTTTTTTTTTGAGAACTTTTCCTTTGTTCTTGCTTTACAGAGTGTACAGAAATTGTTCTTCTTGTTGCTCACTGGCAGCCTTGCTAGAGCAATGTCAAGATCAAGGGAATTTTTTTTTTTTTTTTTTTGACAAAAATGTAGAAATTAATTGAAATGAATTTGAAGCCAACATCAATAGCCCTCAGTCACATGAAGACACTCCCTTTGCCCTTTCAAGAGACAGATGGGATGGAAACATGAAAGGAATAGCACATCTCAACAGGTCTGCAGAGCAGAATGTGAAAAACCTTTTTTTTTTTTTTTTTACTCTGATCTTTGCAATTGATGTCTGTCTCAGAGGAGGGCCATTTTTTTTTTTTTTTTTCGAGATCAAGCTCTATGGACAAAAGGATGGGTCACAGTTGCCCAGAGCAGGTACTTGCAGGGCTGTGGATGTGGGGAGCCGGGGTGGGGGGGGGCAAGTCATTTTTTTTTTTTTTTTTTGCTGGTGCATATGTCCCTCACGGAGACCCTGGAATTGTCTCTTTTTTTTTTTTTTTTTAGCAAAGGCAAGCTTCTAAGTTAAAGTGAATTTAACAATCAATTTTTTTTTTTTTTTTTCAAAACAAAAAGGAGCTCATTAAGAGATTCCTCTTCTGATATTTTTTTTTTTTTTTTTTCTCCATAGGGCACTCAGGAATTAAGGAAGGAGATCCCTCTGCTTTTTTTTTTTTTTTTTTAGTCATCCCACATTGACCAACAGAGGGCAACTCAATAAAAATTTTTTTTTTTTTTTTTGCATATCTATCTCGAAAGAGCCAAAACAGGAAGAAATGTGTTTTTTTTTTTTTTTTTTTGGAAATACTATCTGTATGGCAATATCCCTATTATTAGCCCATTTTTTTTTTTTTTTTTTCCAGTATTCCCCACTCAGAGTGCAAGAAACCCCAATGTCTCTTTTTTTTTTTTTTTTTTACTCTCCCCGCTTACTCTAAAACTGAACATTCTTCAGCTTAATTTTTTTTTTTTTTTTTTTTTTCCTTATACAGGCTTCAGTCAAATGACAAATTGTCAGCATAATCCTTAAGAAAAGCATTAACATGTTAAAGCCCTTCCAACTCTTCTTTCCAACAAAACAGTGTCTGCAAAAAGTACAGGACTTGGTTGCTGCCTTCAAATTGCTTCCTATACCCATTTTTTTTTTTTTTTTTTTAGCCAGGTATAATAGAAAGTTAGTCCTGGGTTCAAAATGATTTTTTTTTTTTTTTTTTGGATAGAACATAAGCTCATAAGAATGAAGTTCTCCTTCCAGTTTTTTTTTTTTTTTTTGTGTGGGCAATTATTCTTTCTGCATATGCAGCCTCATCTGCAAAGGAAGGGAGATGGACTCAAAGAGGCTGACAGTCCCTTCTACTCTTAATATCTTACACATTTCTGAATGGTAAAGACAAGAATGGTCTGGGAGGATGACTTTCTTTTTCCTATTCTCTTTTTTTTTTTTTTTTTTTTCCAACTGGTTACAATCCTCATAGGATCCAATTTCAGATTTTTTTTTTTTTTTTTTTCTCCAGTAAGTTAGAGTAAGGCTTTCTCTAGTTGTCATTTCATTTTTTTTTTTTTTTTTATTCTAAATACTAGAGCATTCTCTTCTTGTCTTACTGAGGCTAGCCAAAAAAAAAAGAGAGAGATAAGATTAAAGTGGGAGGTACCAGGAAAAGTCAGCTATTCAAGATAAGAAGAAGGTGGCCCAAAGCTGAGTGCATAACACCAAGAAAGCAAATACATTTTTTTTTTTTTTTTTCTCTTCATTCCTACGGCCAAGGTGGCTGCCTTTAACTCGTCATTTTTTTTTTTTTTTTTCACAGAGCCTCAGAATTATCACGTTCCACTTCGGAAAACTAATTTTTTTTTTTTTTTTTCCCCTAATGAAAAGTTTAAAGTTTACAAGCAACACAGTGGTGTTTTTTTTTTTTTTTTTCACAAAATGGTTTCATGGCCTAAGAATCTAACAAAGAGCAAGACCCTCTTAGTTAGTAGGGCTTCAGGATCTAATTGTTCAGCGTGGGTTGGTGGAACAGATTTTTTTTTTTTTTTTTATATATTGGATTTCACATGAAAGAAAACAAGACAAGGAATAGTTTTTTTTTTTTTTTTTCAGCTACTAGAAGGTAAGTATAAACAGACAAAACAGGAAGAATTTTTTTTTTTTTTTTTTGGTTTATTTATTTTTTTGAGAGTGAGTCTCGATCTGTCACCTTTTTTTTTTTTTTTTTGCGCCATCTCAGCTCACTGCAACCTTTGCCTCAACCTCCTGATTTTTTTTTTTTTTTTTCGCATGCCACCACGCCCAGCTGACTTTTGTTATTTTTAGTAGTTTTTTTTTTTTTTTTTGTTGGCCAGGCTGGTCTCGAACTCCTCACCTCAGGTGATCCATTTTTTTTTTTTTTTTTAAGTGCTGGGATAACAGGCGTGCTCTGCTGCGCCCAACCTCATTTTTTTTTTTTTTTTTACCGATATTATAAGACTGTGGTCACTGGTGAAGTATACGTGCAAGAGCAGTCAAGAAATTTTTGAGTGGAGGCTTTTCCTTTCTGCTGGAGAACTTTTCTTTTTTTTTTTTTTTTTTTGTCCACACTTTCTGCCTTAACTCTGTGCCCTGGGGCCTGGCTTTTTTTTTTTTTTTTTTCAGGTCCCCTGTCTTCCTGCTTCTGTGTTCAGCCAACGGGCATTTTTTTTTTTTTTTTTCAGGAGGAAGGAAGGAGAATGAGGTCTGGATATTTATTCTTTTTTTTTTTTTTTTTTTTGGCACCACTGTTCTCAAGGCTGCCCTCTCCACATTATTCTTTTTTTTTTTTTTTTTTTTAAGTGCCCTCTTCTTACCTATGTAATTATTAGTTAATAACACTTTTTTTTTTTTTTTTTATCCAGGGTAGCGATCAAGCCCTTGTGGTTTCCCTGAACTTTAAAACATCTTACTAAATAAACAGTATTTTGATTAAGCTTTCTTC